ACAGAAAAATATACATTGAAAATTTTAATCACATTTTTTCTGTTGCTTTTGGCATAGTGTGGGGTCTTCGGCTGTATTCTGTTTCTCATGGTCTATTTTCCATGGCGGTCCATGGTTCAGTAAATGTTGAAGGACCCTATCCTATATGCAACCATTGCTAAGCATAACAAAAATAATGCACACAGACATAAGAAGTGCAGCTGACCACTTCCTTTTCAAGGTAAAACACCACTTTTAATTTTAAATTCCTCAAGAGCTCCAGTGTTAGATTAGCACAAGACAGAGGGATTATCATGCATGATAGGAGACAAAATGTTTATTTGCAGTATAAAGGCTAAGGGGTAAATCATCCCAAATGGAGATGTGCAATAGGGGAAAAAGCTGCTGGAGAATGGAAGCAAAAAATATTGAAGCATTTAAGTATAAATACAGAGAAAATGGTTTTAATAATGAAATATTTTGTAATAAAACATTGTGCAACCTTACGTAAATTACTGGGAAATTACCCTATTGGGAGCTGGGAGGAAGCAAAAATGTGGACTGTTTGGTAGGGAGCTGAGAAGGAGCAAAAACACGGACTATCTGGGAGTCCCTGCAGACCTGGATGAAAAAGGCTGATGTAATTAACACAGCAAATCTGCACTGGATAAGCATGATGGATGGCTGAATGGATGGAGCCTAACACATTTCACAAAACTAGAATGTTTTATAAATTATATTGTAAATCATCTGAATTGTTCAAGGGAGGCTTGTGTTTTTAACTAAATATTTGGCAGATTGTGTTATTTACACAGATGTGTTTACAGCTTCAGCAGTTTTTCACATTCTCCATTTGTGGACATGTGGGAAAAAAATCTGTTAAATTCAACATTTATAATACATGGTAAGGTGGCAGAAATGCATGAGTATTCATTTGAGAACAGTACTATAGTGTAACTTCAGAAATTAATATTGGATATATCCAAGGTAATATACAGTAGACACTAAAACCACTAGTTTTTGTGCTTGTTTTTTAAGGATGTGTTCATATCTGGCCCAGGCTAAAATTTATATACAGCAGATCTTTGCTATATAGTTCCCTAAAAACATCAGTTATAAAAAAAAAAAAAAAAAAAATTTTGTTATAGTCCTGTACAAATTAAAAGTCATTTCATGTGATTGGGAATGATCATTGTCAATTTCATTGTCAACTTGGCAGTTTTCCTGCCTCCTTAGTAAACCTCCCAGGACCTCAGTGCCCATTCTGGCTCCTGTCCAATAATACCAAGGTTCCTCCTCTTCCCCCCTAAATCGCAAAGTGGCTTCACTATTTTGTGTGTCGCCTTCACTGTTCCAGTCTTACCACGGCCACAACCAAACCAGATCTGCAGTTATTGTACGCAATTGAATTCAATGAATGGTGTGTATGTCCTGCGATGGGTTAGCGTCCCATCCTGGGATGTTCCCTACCTTGCACCCGTAGCCTCCGGGATAGGCTCCGGACCCCGCAACCCTGAACATGATAGATGGTTTCAGAAAATGGATGAATGGATTTAAGCTCATTTTATTTTGACAAGAACAAAATTTGTCACTGCAGCGCTTCAAATAACGGACACCAGCTTTTCGTCACTATACCTACCTCATTTACACCCACAATACGATACGCACATTAGTAGTAGGCCTATGCCTGAAATATTATGTGTATGAGTGGCGTATCGTGATACTAAAAAGTAATCTGTATAAATTCAGTTAGCTGAGCACACCACATGGGACTGTTTCGCTAAATCACATCAAGCAATAAACACTGAAGCCAAGAAAGGAAAAGCAACCACAACACCTTTTAAAAGAGGAGATCGATATTGTGGTTAAACAAGGTAAAAATACTTTGGTGGGTGGCGGTAATTTTTGCAGTTTAAAATCAATTTTTTTGGTAAATAAAGCTTTCATTTTTATTTTGTTTCACAAATATTTTTTTTTTCAATTTAGTGTTCATTTTTGTTTCAACTTTAGTTTACGATAATACTGGTCCCACCAAGCCCAACATGCACGAACACATACACACTGGCACTGTCAATAAACACAGAATATGCCCAGATTGTAGCCTAAACATTTTCTCAAACACTTATTCAATGGAAATTCTAATGTAGCAGGCAGACAACTTTAATAACGCTAGCCGACATCAAATTTGGTGAATAATATCAAATTACATTTTTTAAACACCCTTCATAACAAACATTTTTAGTATATTTACTTTTGCTCCAGTATGTCTGGTTTTTCTGTGATTTCGACTTCTTTTCATATACAATGCATTGTGTTTCCAGAAATCAGTGATGCTAAATTAAAGGCTGGAATATTTGTTGGACCTCAGATAAGAAGGTTGCTGATGGACAGTGTATTTGCAGCCAAAATGGTGACAGTGGAGAGGCAAGCCTGGGAAGGATTCCGTAAAGTGATTGATGGATTTCTCGGAAACAAGAAGTCATCTGACTATGAGGTTCACGTCAAGGATATGATATGTCGTTTTCAAGATCTTGGATGCACAATGAGTGTCAAGATGCATTTCCTAGACTCGCACCTGGATTACTTTCCTGAAAATTTGGGTGAGTATAGTGAGGAGCAAGGTGAGAGATTTCACCAAGATATTAGTGAAATGGAGCGAAGATACCAAGGACACTGGAATGTAAATATGATGGCTGATTATTGTTGGAGTATGTACAGACAAAATCCTGATGCTTCATACAAAAGAAAATCATACCAGAAACAGTCTCACAGTGCTAAGTGACCAGCAAAGACACGATGACATGTTTCTTTAATCATGTAACATTTGCTATAATTTATGTTGAACTTTAATTGTAAATTGTGACAAAACCAGAGGTGTGGCAGCAAATTGGAAGCCATATTCTGAAACTACATGAAAAACTGTAGAACTTGCATTTGTTTTTGTTAAATCACCTAACAAATTTTTCTAAATGTCGGCTGGTGTAATGAGTGTATTTAGTAGCTACAATGACAAAAAATACTAAAAAGCTCTCCTTAATAAATCCAATAAACCTCAATAGACAACACTTTATTTGGTTTTGCTTATTCTGGCGGTCCATCATCCAGAATAGCACCTGTGCCTTTCCTCTTCAGCTGCTCCTGCATAGCTCTAATACCGCCGTGGTATGCCATCGAAACCGCGCAGTATAAAACCACCTTTTCATTTCGTGATAATTTGAAGTACTCCCATAATTATGCAGTGATATTAAAGGAAAACTTTTGTTATAATGAATTGAAGCTTTTTAGAAATCAAAAACGTAATTTTATTATAATAATTTCAAAAAACGATGCGTTGATTTAAAATATTGGTGTCGACACATTTTCAGTGTCGACGTCATTGACTATGTCGACTAATCACTGCAGTCACTAGTACATACCATATACATCAGCTAGGAATCAAAAGGCAATACAATACAAACAACCATAGCCCCTGTCTGTAATACATGGATGTCTGTTTTAGACCCTCTTAAACTTTTCATATGGGGATATTACGTTAAAAGCAGGTGGTTCTCAAAAATGCTTAAATGTTTATAGTACATTCAATGCTTACCATGAAAAAAAAAATACATAACAAATAAATAGGATCAGAGGTGGGTACTTCAGGACCAGAGATTAAAAATCCAGACCAGATTTTGTTTCAATCAACCAGTTGAGAACAATGTGTGACAGTCACAGAGTACTGAACTGGTTGGTTAGCATCAAAACAGATACTTGATTTTTGAAGAATGACAATATGATCCTTTTCAAAAATCAAATAAACTAAATAGACAGCTGCAATAGAATCAGTGGCAACGAAGCAGTTTGATACTGGAATACGAGGCAATGGTCCATCTGTTCTAGTGCCACTGTCAATCCTAAATCATTTCATAGAAACTATTTCTGTATTTCTGTACTATTTCAACAATATACTGAATTTTCAAAACTGTATGTCACATTACTGACTATTTACTTACAGCATGAAAGTGTTAATCTGACAATAAACTGGCAGATACCAACTATTTTATTGTTTCAACCTAACAATGAAAATCAGTTTTATTTAGGATAATGATTTATTTGCACGGTGAGAAATTTATCTATACAGAGCAAGAAGTGGAGTGAAATTCAGTGCATATATTAATAAGCACTTCTGCATCTTCCCAAGCACTGAACAGAACTGTTTGGCTACCTTATGAATAGAGTTTGGCCATTAGGTACCTCAGCCTTTCACACTCGTGGATGATGGAAAACATTACATATCTATTCATGCGACCTACATCTGACAGAAGCACACGCTTCCTAACCTGGACACATACAGCATACGTCATGGCTCATGATCATGCTCTAAAACATCCTAAGAACATTTAGTGTGGGTTATTGTGCTTAACGATACAAAAGCAGTGTGAAGGCCACAAAGATGTAATGAAACAACCACAAATAAAGCAACTGCATTTTTTATTATCTCTTTTTATTTGAAAAAGTCAATAACACATATGCCTAGAATTCATCAGAATGTCTGTTTAGGAGTTTCCATGAAGACACATGCGGACACACACAGAACGCCTTTCACATATAAACTCACACACATCCTCACACTCCCAGAGACCTGTCCAGGTTGCTGTACACTATTGTAAGACTGGTTCTCATACTTAACTGTAGGATTTAATGTGCAAAATCAAAAATAAATCTATTTATTCCCTCCAAATCTTTACATAGATTATGGTTTCTAAGCTTTTTACCATACAAACTAAATATTACTATTAGCTTGTTGTCTTATGGGCTGTAACAAACAGATATCTTAAATACTGTAACAGTATGGCAATCAAAAATGCTGTCAACATAAATATTACAAATTACAAATTTAGATATTCTAATGACTGAATCACATCTCATCAGTTTCAAATACATGTGGCCCCAAAACGCATTCCCTTGAAAAAACTTTGAAATAATTAATTATAAAAAGCATCATAATAGGGTCTATTTTATATAAAACTTACAATACTTACATCATCTATACTCACAATGTGCTGCTATTATAGAGGTTCTCTGTGTGTGTGGGGGGGGGTCCTGAGTTTCTGAAAGAGAATAACAAAGCATTGCTGGTACTATCGGTAGAGATAAACATGTGCATGTGCATTGAGCCTCTGAACTTAATCTAAACTAACCTGGTAAATGTGAAGATTCATACTGGAAAAGTCGCAATGTATGCACATATTACACTTTAGATATAAGAATCCTGGGAACAGGGGGCACAAATAATGTAGTAGTTTACTCTTACTTAATGTACAGTATTAATTAACCAGAAACTAACTGCTAGCTACGTATTGATCCCATGTTCATTCGTCATTAATCAATCATAATGGTTCATGTATTTCATGCCGTTTCTATATTTGCTCATGATTTTAACTTGAGTAGTGACTGAGTTACTTAGCTAATTGAGCCGTTACCAAAATCTTTATCGAAACAGGACATACTGTGTTTACTAATGGAAGTAGTTCTTTTACACAGAACAGAAGTCTGATGTATACTTTTATCAGGAACAATGCAAATCCAGATTCTACATAATGAATATTATTCATATTCATATCAATGTGAAAGTGGTATACACAACTTCACAAATATACTGTGAGATAACATTTCGATACTCATTTTGACAGTGACTGATCATGACTTGCCCATATGTTTGCTTCACCTTAAGACTCTACTTTTAAAGTATAACTGCAACAAATTCAACATACCGGTCTTATCAAAAAACAATTTACGATTTATAAAACATTAACACAGCATAATCAGCTGGCAAGGTGAGTTTTAGAAGAGATGATCGCAGACACTGATGAGGCAAAGCAGTAAAGCCTTGGACATGTGCAGATGGTGTAACGAATATGCACGCCAGTTGGAATGACAAGCATTCACACCAAGATTAAGAATAACAAGCACAAACACACGACATCTTTTAACAAGATTCCAGTAGTGATTTAGTAACCAGCTAAACACATTTCGTAACACAGTTTTTATACAGTCAGAACAGTTTTCTTGGAAGCTAATATAATGGAATACAATGCGAGTCAATGTCATCTGTTTATCAGTGCAAATGTATACAAATGACATGGTAATATAAATGTGGTTATAATCCATAAGCACATTATGATAATAGAGCATGAACTGTAATCTATCCCCATAATCATGAAAAACATTCTATGTGTCTTTACTGGCAGGTGGGTCCCGTTTACAGATTTTCAGAATTTTTCAGTTTCCGTTACTATATATTGGATCTATATATCAGATTGAGAAAAAAATCTGGGTAACACTTTCTATGAACACCATAGTAACACATTATAATGCATTCATAAAGCATTATAAACATGACTATAAATATTTATATAAAGGCCAACATGCTTCCTTAATTCTTATACTGACCGTAATAATGCATTATGAAGGTATCAAAAGTGCATTATAGATGAGAGCTTAAAGTAAAGTTTTACCAAATTCTGTTTAGTCACAATCATTGTGATGGGAAAAACCACTGTGCCAGCCAGAGTGTGATCAGGGTCAGACAGTAAAGGTCAGCCGATATATCGGCCGGCCGATATATCGGGCCGATATTTGGAATTTTTTTATGTATCGGCATCGACCGATATCCGAGTGTAGTACACCGATTTACAGACAGGCACGTCTGTGGGCAGCCCATTGTTATTGTTGCTGTGGAACATGTGACCCATGCTGCCTTGTGCAGGACCCCAGCCAGAAGTTTTGTAAGAGACCTGGGAGAAAACGGTAAGGTTTAAATTCTGATCTTTCAAAGATCTATTTATTTAACTGGTTTGCTATGCAATGTTGCTTTAAAAGAAATGCGAGCGCTTTTGAAAGAGACCGCGAATTACACTGTCAGGAACTGGCGTATGATAATGAGCCTTCAACCAACTGTAGCTTACAGGTAAGGATAAGGATCATTTTTTCTGATAGAGTTAGTTTTGTGCGCTTGTTGGTGGGCCCACAGACATTATTTTAATCGTTAACATTTTAATTATTACCGTATCAGCCCGATGCTATCAGTTCTATTTTTTTCTTGTATCGGAAAGTTTCATTCTGTGTGTGGGGGGCGGAGCAGGCAGCTTTCTCAAACACTGCAGCATGTGTGAGAGTTGCGCTATAATTATGGGAAGTTCGACTCAATTAACTGATTCGATTCTTTCGAACTGTCCGTTGTAATGAATCGATTCTAAAATCTAAACTCATTTTTTCATCTTTTTTTTGCGCCTGACTCTTTAACTCAACGAATCATGGGATCGGATAATAAATCGAACGGTGTCTCAAGGTTACGTTATTTGACTGAAAGATGGCGCTTACTGTTGTGATAAATGATGAACAGCTGCGTTTATTTTATTCCTTTTAACAGCATAACTGCATTTCCGCAGTGAACGCCGAGAGGGCTCTTGGGATCGATTCACCAAGTCACCGAGTGTCCGAAAACTGTAAATTCGATTCGTTCATCGAACAGGTTCTCTGGTTTTTTGGAGTCACCGAGTTAGAGACCGTATCTCCCTTCACTTATACAGCAACCGTGTCTCACTATGACCAGGTACTTGGCCGTTCAGGTGTTCTCGGCACCAGAAGGAAGTCTACGAACGCAAAAGTGATGAACAAAAGAATGAATGTAAAAGTGATAAGACAAGTACAGACGGAATATGAAAAATAAATCCGAAATCGTGGGGGGATTCTTTTGGATGTTGAATAGCCAAAGATGAAGTTTTTAAAATTAAAAAAAATCGATTTGTTCAGACTTACCAAAGGGTTCGACCCGTTCACTAAAAAAACGAGTTAAAATGAACGATTCGTTCGCGAATCGGCCATCACTATTGCGTTACTCTGCCCAGACAGTGTTGCCAACTTAGCGACTTTGTTGCTATATTTAGCAAGTTTTTAGACCTCTCTGGCGACTCGTTTTCAAAAAAGCGACTAGTGACAAATCTAGTGACTTTTTCTAGTGTTATTGGAGACTTTTGGAGACTCTGATGTGGAAGCACCGAGCAGCGGGTGCTGCCGTGGGCTCCCCTCCCGTCCCAAAGCATTCACAGGCGGACAGTCCTCGCGCAGCAGCCCCGCCCAGCTGCAGTCAGAGCAGGAGTTGTTCACCCTTTCACATCCAGACTGCAAATGAATCGCGCATGCGCAAAGCCACCACTGGCTGATCCTGCCCTGGCTTATTGCCAAAAACTCCACCAAGTAAACAATTAAATGACAGTTTTTCAAGAATAAGTAACTCCGCCAGAGTGTCTCTTTGGGGTCACTTTTGCCGGTCCCAAGCCCGGATATAGGAAGGTTGGAATTGTGATATAAAAAGCTACTAAGAACAATGCATGGCAGAGAAAAATGTTTGTTCGAAAGTGTGGTTACCATTCACTTGAGCTGATGTTGACAATGGTCCTTCTGTGCAACTTGTTTGCATTTGAGAGTGGAGATTCGAACAATTTCTCAGATGTCTAGATAAAAAGTGCATGACTTTGCGTAGTTAGTTTCCTCATTAAACATGTCTATCCTTTATATGGGCTTATCCGTCGACAACGTCACAATCACTAAAGGCTTACGTTGTCCTTGCATACAAGGCTATGCAATACAACAAAGATATTTTATTTTATTTTCTGCGATCACTAGATTCTGATTGTGAATTTGGCTTGTAAGCTAACAACATAAACAGCATGTTAGTGAAAGGTTTTAGGGCCTTGTACAGTACTCATCATAACATGATGCACTTAGTGTCAGGGATCCGGGCAGCTCGGGTGCGGGAACGAGGCATGGTGCAGGAACAAAAAGGATGGACGACCCACTTGTGGCTCAAAGAACAAAAATGGGGTTTATTAAACTGAACTAAGAAAAACACAAGAAAGGACTAACAAAACAAAGGACCACAAGGGATCCAAAACTAAAAGGGGATAAATAAAGACTAAATGTACAAAGGGGAATCAGGAAAATAGGCAACAAACAAAGTATCCAAAACTAAACTACAACAAAACCTTCAAGATCTAGCAGCCGCAGCAGCAGCAATCAAACAATCAACGAACCACTAGGGAACAGAACAGATACAGGTACTTAAATACAGAAACCAAAACTGGGTAATAAGACTGACACAGGAGAGGTGAGACTAATTAACAGAGACCAGGAAAACAGGGCACAGGTGAAACTAATAAACTCAGGAGGAAAACAAGGAAACTAAGAACTTATCAAGGAAACATAAACCAACACTAGGGAATTACAAACAGGTAAAGACACAAGCAGGGGCACAAGGAACAAAACCAAATACAAAATCACCAGATACAATAACTAGAAACACTAAGGAGCAACATACAAAAACACGAGGCAGGATTCAAACACAGGACAATGTTCACAGACAACCACATGCTCAACGCATTGAGACTTGTGGCTAGACAGGTAACAGGGGAGAACAAAGACTAACACAAAGAACGGGACGACCAGCAACACCTGCTGGCCAAACAGGGAAGGGACACAGAGTAGGACAACAGGGGCTGACCCTGACACTTAGTTACTAGTGTTTTTTTTTCTTTCAAAATGTATTAGAGTATAATTGTTTTAAGGTGCATGGAATACTGGAATTGTAGAATGAATTGAAGATGAAGGCACTATAATAAAAATGCTAACCTTGCATTTTTTTTTCTGTTTTAGTAATTGCTGTCTGATGGCTGAACAAAAATCTAATCCTGTATGGCAGCATTTCACCAAGCCAAGTTGAAGTTATTGTTTACAAGTTGAATGGTGTTTTTGTTATTTAAATTTATATTTAAATTTACATAAGTCAGTATTCAATAAATGCTAAGTAATAAATGCTAGAAATTTTGTGTATTGTTTGTTATTATTAGTGTGATATTTTACCATGCAAATAGAGGGGAAAACAGGCTAAAAAAATCGGCAGCATATATTGGCCATCGGCTGACCCTGACTCCTAAATACAGTATTGGCATCAGCTATTGAGAAACCCATATCGGTCGACCTCAGTCAGACACATTGACATCCTCACTCACACACCAAACCAATTCAGTCTTCATGGCCATGGATACATTTA